TTGTACCCAATGAAAAGAACAGTGTCTGTGTGTGTGTGTGTGGTTATGATTTCTGTTGATGCATTCAGAGAAACGAGGGGGGGGTGTTGGTAGGGGGGTTCAGGAAATGGAAGTATTGCTGAATGCCTAAACATTTTTGTGCCGTGTGTGTCCATGATTGTTGGACAAATGAAAGAAAGGAAGAAACTAGAAGAGTGAGAGCAGACAAACAGGCAGACAGATGGACAGATGGACAGAGAGACAGAAGGACAGATGGACATGTATTGCAACATAGGGCTGAGGCTGGAGAGGATTGACTTCATTTCCTTGGACAGATATAGTGGTGAATATTTGCATTTCCTGCGACACAGAGGCCAAACATCCTTCCATTCAAATCTCCACTGAGATCAAATTAGACAACTGCTCTGTATCTCTTAATATCTGTTCATTCACTGCCTCGTCTTGTCAGCCTTTTCTAAAAAAAAATCCAACCAAAACAGTCTAACGTGTATATAATTTTTTATTCATTCTATTATTTCGTGTCTGATTCAAAAATACTCTTTTTTCAGCTGTACCATTAGAGTCCAACAAGAGGACTACAATTATTCTACATTCATATAAATCTTTATCACACACACACTGTATACTCTATACATACATACAGAAGGGCAGACTCAAACAGAATAAACATCTGTCTTTGTCCAAACTTAATCCTGACGGACGACACATTCGTTATGTTAGCGGAGGCCGACGGCCAGGTCGTTCCTCCTTCCTTTTTCTGTAGATTACCACGACTAAAGATGTTTTAATTGAAACATTCTTGCCCTTTGACCTTGGCTAGGCCAAGAGGTCACTGTCGCTGTGGCAACGAAAAACACCAGATGCCATCTTAATTAAAGAAACATTATTTACTGAGGGATATTTTCATTTTTACTACCTTTGACCTCCCTTTACTTTCCTTTCTTCCCCTCCTACTCCTCTCACTGCGATAGTTAATTGGTGAAAGGCTCGGAAAACTTTCCCTCTCTCTCCCTCTCCCTCTCTATCTCTCTCCCTCTCTCGCTCTCTGTGTCCGTATGTGACGAAGACGAAGAAAAGCTCTCTCTCACAGGAGACAAAGCCACAACCTCTGAGGCTGCTAAGCAACAATGCCGCCTGGTAAAGCCTTGTCAGGGCACCGTTTAGCAGAGGATTAGGGACAATTACACACAAACACACACACACACACACCCAACATGCAGACACACACACACACACCCAAATGTAGCGGCAGTATATCGTATACTGTACTCTGCCTTTTTTTTTCCAAAATCACAGAAAAACTGGCGAATGCTAATGCAGGCTAGGAGGAAGAGGAGGGAAAAGAACGATGTGTTTGTGGGAGTATAAAGTACAGTATGAAGTGAGATTTACTTCAATACGAGTGAATACTGTATTTAACTCTCAGATTTTTGACTGATGTAAAAAACAAACATTGTGATGCAGATGAAGCCTCTTCCTCCAGTTTCTTTTTTTTTTTTTTTTAGCAGATTAAAACTTGTGACAGACAATGATTTGAGTCTAAAGAACACACTGTGGCGACACAGACAGGTTCTAAACTATAGGGTTGAGGGCCGTTGCGGGTAGAGGATATACAGAATCAACAACATAATATTCTTTTATGTTATTGGTTATTACTGTTGAAGATGATTTAATCTGCAAAATGACTGTATTCTCTATCCAGTAAAGGCACCGGTCCATGTGTCAGGATACAGCCCACAAAGTACTGGCATACAAAAATCAAATCAGGTTGACGCAGCTAGCTGAAACATTACACCGTCCTAGCATAGCACTCAGACAGTCCTAGTCTGCCTTCACTGTTAACAAATCTCACTTGTAAAGAAGGATTTAACTGGGGTTAGTGGTGAAACGACGATGTTGTGGTTCAACGTTCTCAACATTCCTGTCCAAACATGTAGGAAATGTACAGGAAGTTAAAGTTAAAGTATATATGTATATATATTTTCTTTGTTTACCGTGCCCTGTTATTTGTTATGGCTGTTGCGCCCCCAGTGAGGAAGATCCACCCACTGCTTTATTTACATTTCTACCAGAAGAAAACAAAATAAATTGACCTGAACCTTAAACAGTTCATAATTTAGCGAGTCAACGCCCAACTGCTGATCTCCGACATGTGACAGCTCCTCAACACATGACCGTGTGAACCAGAAAAACACATGTGAACAATGGAGAAAAACAAAAACACACAGCGAAGAAATATTTAAATTTGAGGTGTGTGTATGAGACAAATACACACAAAGACTGAGACAAACAGAAAAGTCTTTCTTGTCACCCCGACCTCGGCTCAGGACTGTACAGATTAGGATTACTGAGCTGCCACTAGGGGGTGCACGATATAAAACGTGATGATCGTTTTTGAGTGGTTTTTTTTTTTAAAGCGGGATTTTTCCACACAATAAAGACGTATAAATAAACATTTTCTTCATAAAACATAAAATCTAAGCTGACATTTGAATTAATAAATAAATGCAGGCGACATCTGTGTTATATGTGTGTGTTCTGGTCAGTCAAGCATGATTACACAGGCTGCCTTTATAATGAAGAAAGATGTGGGGAATTTGGGGGATGTGTCAACCCAGTTGGGTTATAGAAGGGGGTGCATGGCCAAAAGTTTGGGAATCACTGGTATAAGTGAAGACTTGGCATAAAACCACGCCTTACTGGGACACAGTCTGGTGTTTCTACAGGGTCATTCCAATGAACTCTCTTCATTTGATCCAATGTTCAAATTGACAAGATGCTTTTTTTCCCTCTTTGTCTCAGAGCAAACAGTCACAGCTGGGATCCTCACTAATACAGAGAAACAGTGTGTGTGTGTGTGTGTGTGTGTGTGTGTGTGTGTGTGTGTGTGTGTGTGTTTGTCCACATATGTGTCAGAGAGACAGAAACCTTGAAAGGGAGGTTTTGGGGATCCACCAACCACATGGTGTCTCCAGATGTGTGCCTACAGTGAGCAGTAAATGAACCGCGCCGACCGTGTGAGCGCTGTGCGATGAGAGCAACCAGAGAAACAACAACTCGTCCTGTTTGTGTTTTTGTTGTCCTGCGAGATATTGATTGCAAAAAGCCCGATTTGTGGATATCCTCTCAACGTGCCAGCTGGGATTTGTCCCGCAGCATTTATAACACGGCACCGAGGGTGAAGATGCATTTGAGCGTGGCTCTGAAGCCACTGATGAGCACGTAATGTGTTGTTTCAGATGGCATTACATTAGAAGATGTGTTTTCTTGCTGACGGTGGGACAGTGATTAGATCTGAATGTGGGTTTTGGCAGCCAGCTGCTCCCTTCTCTTTCCACCACTGGCTCTTTCAGTAGTTTGCAGTACCAGACAGTTCTGGACTAATTTCAGCCCTGGATGCAGGGTCAGTGATGGGTGAAGAACCGTTTCTGTCATCCTCAATTATCAGGACCGTCTTTGGGTGGCAACATCGTGGTTTAACACTGATGTTAAACTTGTGGCAGGAGAGTTAATGAATCTAATCATGGAAACTCTAGAGACTTAAAGACACACAACAGCCTCTGTCCTTCTCTTACACACACACATATTTTCCAAACTCCCAAAAAAAGTGAAAACATCATTTTGATAATAGCAGGTTAAACCAGTTTTCATTTATAGCAGTACTGTCGCAAAAACCAAACTCGGTGCAGTTCGCACATACCTTCTGACCTCGGTATAAAACTCAATTCCACGTCAGACGTTCTCAGGGGTTTCTTGTTGTGTTTTCTAAAAATACAAAAGCGCTGTAGGGGGGGTGAAGAAGTGGACATAAATTTAATATTGACCGAGCCGACCACAATATTGACTTAGCCACCGTGCGTTGCTGTTACATTCCAGATGACTTCCATACGTCCCCCCCTCCTGGACGGAGCAGTAGGAGCTTGGCAGGTTCTTTTGTTGACTTAGCCGTTCAACGTTTTCGTGTGGAAGAATCAGAATTTAAACACCAATAACACACACACACCCAAGAATGCTACACACACACAGTCTTTCGGGACCGATACATAAACACATACGTTTTGTACTCACACGCCACTTTCTGTAACAGCTGAGCAGAGAGCCACTATATTTTTACCTCAACCCACGCGGTGAGCAAAATGCAAAAAAGCAAAATTCTCGGCCTTGAGAAATTTCTCTCTCTCTCCTTCTCCTTTCTGTGTTTTCTCTCTCCCCCTCCTTCCTCTCCTCCCTCCGTCTTCAACGTACACACAGAAACACTTACGTACATGCAGACACACACCCTTGGACACGACAGGTCAAGCCCAGCCAACCGCTGTAGCAGCCACAGAACATAAACAACTTTCACACACTCTGTGGATCATCTGAGCATTTCAATATTGTTTTAGATAAATATATTCAGCCACACATATAAATATATGGAACCATAATTATTCCCTGTGACCGCAAATGACCATGACGGGAAGTCGGTTCCCACAGTTTCAGCAGCGTTGCAGCCCAGCCCAACAGGATTGGAAATTCACAGCTTGGTTTGCAGTCCAGGCGACCAGACAGAAAATGACCGGCGGACGGTGCTTCTACGACAAACGTGTGGGAACTGACCCCAGATCTGAGCATTTTGTTTATGTCTTTTATTTGTCATTTTCACTATTTTTTTCTTATCTCTGCGCGCACACACACACACAGACCCACACACACAAACATTCTCAGAGGGCAGCAGCTGTTGGAGTGCTAATCTCCATTAACTCCTGAACTGGCTTCTATGGTGAGGTCCGTTCACTACATTACCCAAGAAAACCCGTGGTCACTAAGAAAGGCAGATTTTCACATCACTATAAACAACAACACCTCAGTGCAGTCATGTATTATACACTCCGTACACAGACCAACCTCATCTGAGCCATGTAAGACACCCAGTTTCATTAGGGGTGTAACGTTTCAGTAAATAACACACAGGATTTAGGTTGCAATGACTGGGAAAAAAAAATTCAAAACGCACTTACAGTCTGTAAAGCTTTGTTGTTCCCAGGAAAAGCAGCTCAGGAAACACAGCCAGATTATTGCGATTCAGGCGCCTGAAAAAACAAAACATAAATTAGAGAAAAAGCAAGTCTACCGTCCGTTTCCAGACATCATGGCTGAAGTGGTTAGGTGTCCATATAATTAAGTTTTTTTAAGTGAGATTGGTGTAACCTGATAAGCATATGAAATTATTTTATGTCATTTTAAATGTTAAGGTTGAAGGATTGATGGACACACTCTGAAAAAAGAAAACACACACACACTTTCATGGACAAATTCTCCAAAACAGACTCCAGTCTCCCCCTGATTTAGGGCGTTCAACATGGCTGCCAGACAAACAGCAAAATCAAGAATGGTGAAAGGAAGGTGGGGAGAAAGAAGAGAGAAGGGGTTTGGATGAAGGCTGGGGGAGTTTGGGGAGGAGAGGGGGGGGGATTTTTAAAAAAAAAAAAAAAACCACAAAGGCAGAGAAGAGGAGACGATGTGGGAAAAACAAACAGGCAGTCTGGCCGGGCTACCGAATGTGTGAAAAGGACCCCACTGGGTAAACAAGGCCCTCATAGCAGAAGAACTCACAACAACCCGTCATCAGACACACACACACACACACACACACACCCTGACAAACAGAGGTGTTAAGAGAGCTCGGGTGAGTTTAATAATCTGGGGGCAATCATTTAACCCTGGCTGAGTGGAGTGAAGAGGTTGGTGTGCTGGGGTGTGTTGAACCTTGGTGTGAATCAGAGGAGAAAGGCTGCTGAAACAGTTTAACCCTGACACACACACACACATATGAAGACACACAGTCATGGGCTGGTCTCTATGACTTCAGAGGTCGTTACATTGACTTACACTCATCCCCTGGAGACCTGCTCCAACCTTAAATACTTCAGCTTCTTCTCAGACAGAGACATGAGTGAAAGATCCTCCCGACTCTGCAGCAGCGTTTCTGAACTAAATGTCCAGAAAAGTCTTCCTGTCACCAACAACTGTGGTTCAGTGTCTGCTCTATGTCCGTGGATCTGACTCTGTATTTCATTTAATACACGTAATATACGTCGTGTTTATTCTTCCATCTAACCTCAGTCCTCAGCAGGGTTGCTGGAGCCAATCCCAGCTGTCAGCAGGCCAGGTACACCCTGGAAAGACCATAATGATCACACCTGTGGTCAGTTTAGAGCAGGGGTTCTCAACTTGCAGTTCACAGATCTGTACCGGTCCGAGGACTGGGCCACAGCGGACTGCAGTGGAGTCCCAATGGTCTTTGGTAGAAAAAAGGTCGGGGGCCATAAGTTTAGACTAAACCACGTACATGTGGGAGAAAACTCAAACTCCACACAGAAAGTTACAATGAGAATTGAACCAAGAGTTCTAACAACATATTCCTCAGTGTGGCCTCTATTGTGTTCAGGTTCTCAGTAAATAATACAGCATTTAAAGAGAAATAAAACAATACAGTTTGACAGGAGATGGTGAAAATGAGTGACCAGCGCACATGATTGACAAGTGGACCTTATAAAGTCTGCTGATGTCTCATAACTCAGCCTCAGTGGAACCACAGCTGCATTATGGTTTATGGTCTTTACTGACATCGTGTTTCATTAAAGAAGTAGTCTTCGAAAAAGGACGAGATTTATGGATGTTGTAAATCAATTGAAAATGTCTCTTTTGTTTTCCATGGACTTCTATTCTTACAGTGTGATTTCCAAAACCACTAGAGCACTTCTGGTCTTCTTTTGAGGCTTCACGTTATAATCATAATCTATTTTTATTTTTTTATAAGGTATGAAAGCGGAGACAAACGTCTCCCTCCTAAATTCTGGACGTTGTCTAAACCAGTGTTTATCAGGTTTGTGGGTCCCTGAGTGGAGCTTAGTGTTACATGTAAAGGGTTAGTGGATAAAATAAATACCGTTAATAAAAGTTTTGTCCAATTCTGCAGCACAACACACTTCCTCTGTCCCCTCTTATCTGAACTGAAGCACGTTGATGAAAAAAGACTTTTATTATTTCATATATAATCACTAAATTATAGGATTTTCTTTTCATTTTTGGACTGTATAGACTAGAACAACCACAAAGACATTTAGTTATTTTCAGACATTTTTAAGACCAAACTGAACTGCTAATAAACCGGTAGTTATTTTCAGACATGTTTAAGACCAAACTGAACTGCTAATAAAAACCTTAGGAAAATTCTAGATTCATTGAGATCCATCAATCTACATCCAAAAACCATCATTAATATCTAAACAAGTGTTTTTGACATTAGTCCTGACCTTAAACCGTATCTATACTCAGGTCTGAACCCAGAGAATGTCGTCTTTACTCTTCAAACATATTGATTTGCATAACTGTAACTCTCACATAGACCTCACGAGCTCTGTCACATGATCTGTCTCATCCACACATAAATCAATCCCGTTGCGGCAGATTGACGATGAGAGTCAGCACATAAGACTACACAAAGGTTTTCCAATGGCAAAAATCCAAATGTTTTTGTTTACTAAACATATATGTGTGTGTGTTTTTATATACTATAAAAACATGTAGTCGTTTTCAGCACAATAATAAAATCTTAAAGCCTTCCCTTGTCTTCCAACCATTTCAGCTTCTCAAAAAGCCAGAGTGGCCTCTCCTTAAATAACATCACCATCTGTTTGTCTCTCCGTCTCCCTAAAGTGCCCAAACGCAGCCCGTGAACGTGGACGTGCACATCATCCGCAGACCTTTACACTCCATGGTCACATCAGAGGCCGCTTTAATATTTAACGCCCCACAGAAATGATGTTTCTAAATTATTCACCGCTCTGCCGTTTGCGCCGTCTCAGGCGGCTCACAGACCCGCGTGGTCCTGCAGAGAGACTCACTCCCTCTGCAGGTCCTGCCCAGTCATGAGCACCCAGTAATAGTCCAGACCTCCACTGGGAAACTGCTGGTGCTGGCGCTGGAGGTGGGCAGGTGGAAAGGAGGACAGAGCACGGCTATGATCTCATCCACTTAAAATAGATGCAGTGCTGTCAGACTAGGAGACGGAGATAATGAAGTAGAGATTAAACCGCGGGTTGTTTGTCGTCTTTCCAATGCACTTAGTTAACGTCATCGTTAAAGATCATGTCTCCGGAGATTTACGTACATGATCCTGATCCTGGTTCTGCAGGAAAGTTTGTATCCATTTTAATGAGTTACAGCAGTCATCTGACGCTGCTGTGACCATTATTTTATTTTTCAGTTTATGTAATGGATGGAGGACCCTTACAGCACTGTGTTATGAATAATGCATGTCATGATGTAGATAGAACTTTATTAATCCCTCAGGAGCTCCCTTCAGGGAAATAAGGAGTGGCACTTCAAAATCCAGGGTTTCTACCTTCTCTTTGCAACCCGTAAGTCAGAATACAAAATGGAAACTTGTAATAAATAATAATAATCTGCATTATTTAACAGCAGTTGTACTGTACAAAGATAAACTGTACTCTCTATTGGATACTGGAGCCACATGGACATAACAAAGGGTTTGGTATCTCTATAATGGAGGACAATTTCATGAGCTACCATATGACTTAAAAACAACATTATATTATAATAGGTTGATGTTCCTACAATCCAATGGTTCCCAAACTATGGGGTGGGCCCACCTTAGAGGTGCAAAATTAAATTTTTTTTATTTGTGCCAGAGTCATACATTTTTTTGTAATTTTATGTCATTTATTCATTGTTACTTGATGCGTACAGAAAAGCTAAAGCTAAGACTTTAGGTTAAGTAGTAAAATGCTAAAGGTTATGCTAAGTGGCTATGGTATGTATTAAGCGTATGAGCTTGGCATAGAGAAACAAGTGTGTGTTTCAGTCTGACTGAAAGTGAAGGGAGATTGAATGAAGCAGTGGTGTGACTCAAACAAGCTAATGTCACACACTGCGGTGTAGTGATAATCCCTGCAGTCATTAACAGATGCTGGTGGGCCACAAGCTCCCACACACACACACACACACACACGCCAACACCTTCAAAGCAAAAGTGATGTGCCAAATCTTGAACATAAACACATGTAAACGGCACAGACATAGTACACACAGACACACTGGCCTAATGTGTCGTAGCGGCGGCGGCGGTGAGGCTGTGTGCTCGTACAAACCCAGGAATCAACAAACCACCACAAAAACCAATTACTCCACTGCTGCCACGCTGCACTAACAATTTATCACATACTGAAACAAAGACAAACAGGAGACTGGTCCTGTTACCATAGTTATTACTCAAACCCTGTGGATTTTTTTTTTGAACACATACAAATTGTTTATTCTAAGAAAAACCACATTTGCACTGACCATCGTGTCTGCTCGTTTGTGGGTGTTGGAAAAAAAAAAAGAAAAACCTGGCGTCAGTGTAGTCGGTTACATTTTACATGGACAACAGCCCATGATCATTCCTACAGTCTAATCTGATGTGATATTGAAGCAGTGATGACAGATAACCCCCACACCCTAAAACAAAGCAGAGCAGAAACACAGCCTTCTCACCGAACCTGAGCAAATTCCTCTGCTATCACCCAAACTCCAGGAGTGACTGGGAATGTTTTCCTCTAAACACTGTGCTTAGTGTTGCCTACCAACACCTATAACAAATGTAGACTGCTGCAGAGTGGAGCACAGACACAGAGGCACCTGGGGAAATTTGTCACGAGTGACTTTTAAACATAAGTGCCCATAAGTGCCAGAATAAAAATGGCTTTCTCCGTGCCCTCGCAGTGTGGATTATTGAAGCTCAGATGCCAAAAAAAAAAAAACAAAACCACAAAAACAAACAAACAAAAAACCCAGAAATGATCAGTGAGAATAAATCTATCAGCCACTAATCCACTTCCTTGCTTTAAAGTCCATGCCCCACTCTCTGGGATCACTGTTACGATTATCTGTGGCCACACATTGCACCAGAATAACTTGGTTTGAGACCTAATTATCTACTCCGTAATCGCTGCTGACAGATACACCTCACTTTCTGTAATCACTGGCACGATAATGCATCGGTGTTAAAACGATCTTTGCTGTGGTAATCACTCCGTTAAAGGCTAATTATCACAGGCGTTGCGTCGCTGCCGCTCTCTGACATTATCATCTGAATACCTGTAATTACTGTTGTGTTTCTCTCCACATCTCCGAGGCTGTTATCTCCTCCACAATCACACACTTTGAATTGGACAGAGGCAATAAACCAGTCAAACACGAGGGAGGGACAAGAGGATGAGGAACTCCTCTCTTTCCTGCTCCGTACCCACAGGGAGAGAGTCAAGAATGTGTGACACTCCTACAAACACGGGCTGACACAGAAAGAGGGCGAGGTGGTGCGGAATTGAAGAGAATTTGACAGAGGAGAAGATGTGCCTGGAGCGTGTTGGGTGGCAGGGGCGGTGACGACAGGCAGCTCAGGCCCTGATGGGGCAGCTGATGGGGGTAAGTGAATGCACCAGGGTGTCTGTCCCACACATGTGTTTACGTGTATACATGTGTGTGTGTTGTTACACACCTATCTCCTCCGCAACTCCTTCAACCATCTACCCCTCCTCCATACCCAGCAGTTACTGCCCCACACCTGACCCTGCCCTGCCCAGCCCCGCAGGGCCTGTCGCAAAAAAGCATGAGAGGGGTAACTGTTTTCCACCCCTGTGGGGGGCAATCACTGTGGATCCGTCAGCCCAGCTTAGGGTCCTTTCCTCTGGGCAGTAGTGCTCAGCAGGCCCTTAGCTGCCACCCCCCCCCCCCCCCCCCCCCGCGGGCCCTGTCGCAAAAAAGCATGAGAGGGGTAACTGTTTTCCACCCCTGTGGGGGGCAATCACTGTGGATCCGTCAGCCCAGCTTAGGGTCCTTTCCCCTGGGCAGGAGTGCTCAGCAGGCCCTTAGCTGCCACCCCCCCCCCCCCCCCCCCGCGGGCCCTGTCGCAAAAAAGCATGAGAGGGGTAACTGTTTTCCACCCCTGTGGGGGGCAATCACTGTGGATCCGTCAGCCCAGCTTAGGGTCCTTTCCCCTGGGCAGGAGTGCTCAGCAGGCCCTTAGCTGCCACCCCCCCCCCCCCCCCCCCGCGGGCCCTGTCGCAAAAAAGCATGAGAGGGGGAACTGTTTTCCATCCCTGTGGGGGGCAATCACTGTGGATCCGTCAGCCCAGCTTAGGGTCCTTTCCCCTGGGCAGGAGTGCTCAGCAGGCCCTTAGCTGCCACCCCCCCCCCCCCCCCCCCGCGGGCCCTGTCGCAAAAAAGCATGAGAGGGGGAACTGTTTTCCATCCCTGTGGGGGGCAATCACTGTGGATCCGTCAGCCCAGCTTAGGGTCCTTTCCCCTGGGCAGGAGTGCTCAGCAGGCCCTTAGCTGCCACCCCCCCCAGCCTTTGAAATGAGCCCCCAGACTCAAGATTCCGGACATGTGCCTTTGTTCGATGGCCGCTGGGGGCCTTGATGGCTAACTCTATCTTTGTGTTTGTGAACATGTCACGCCAGAGCTGCTGAATTATAGTTGAGAAGCACAGCCAATAAAATAGAAGATGTCATGTTGGGTCAGGAAGCTAGCTGTAGCACACTGATGTTTGCTACAGCATTATAGTAGTCTATATAGTCTACGTAGACTTCTACTATATCAGCCCGTCGTCTATAACATCAGTGACCAGGTGACATCACAGCAATGACCGGTCCATGCACGTGATGACAACTAAATGATCCACTAGGGGTCAGACCAAGTGGCGTCCTCGCCGTCTTTAAGAAAGGCCACAAACATGACGATGGTAAAAAATCACCAACGGTGCTTTTGAGACAGATGATGGCGCTGTCAGTTACATGTGGCGCAATGATATCCAACCTCCAACCTTATTCTATACTTTCTGTTTTCTTTCCCTTTCTGTCCACAAGTCAAACCAAAGTCATTCTCTGAGGAAATAAAGGGAATTTTAGTAGAGACCAAAGAATCATCTGGGGCATTTTTTAGAATATACCATTGAAGCCACACCAGAAACAATAGAATCCTGACCTCGTTGTCCACACCTCTGGTCAGGAATTCGCACAAATGCTAAGCTGGACAAAAGGGTTTCCGAGAGAAACGGCCGATTTCATCTGTAGAGCTCAGCCAAGAGAGGGCAGCCATAAATCTAGCAGACTGAAGGGTGAATGGAGAGACAGCACCAGATGTAGAATTATGATATTCCATTCTTTATGTAATGACAACTCCTGGAAATTGTTCAATAAACAGCTATTAAAAAGATTACCCGCTGCATTCAAATGTATGCATCTAATTACAGCATTACCCCAAATGTATTTGATTCCTGTAAATGCATTTGTGTATAATCACAGGTGGATGAAGCTGTGTGTCTGTGGAAGCAGCCAGGATTTTTATGTCTTTAATTAAAAGCTTTTCTCTAAAGCTCATCTCAGTCGCTAACATTCCAGGAAGACACTGTTTGGCAGGCACGCCTCACACACACCCAGCAGATATGAAGTGTTCACACATAAAGCCAGGCTGACAGTTACAAAAAAAAAAAAGAAAAAACCTGACGTCTCAGCAGTCAGGGTACACCCCCCACCACCACCACCACCCACCCCCTCACCCTTTTGTCTGGCTCATTTTTAGACAATACAACTTAATTTTGCCAAAATTGCCTGTAGGCTGGATGTTGAATTCCACTGATTCCAGACTGGCACCATAACAACGTCCACCTCCCCCAGGCACTACAGAGCTGTGATACGGTCTCAATGTCCTGGACTGGAACAACTGACGTTCCATCCTGACAGCCAGGTTTAAAAAAGATAATAAAAACGTCCGATGTGTAAAAGGAAAATTTCTGACATCAACTGATTGAGACTGAGTTTGTTTTACGGCCAGTAGGAGTGGATTGGTATCCAGCTGTGAGCTCCACGGAGGAAAGACACTGAACTGCATGTTAGCAATCAGAGCCAGTGTAGCATCGGGGTTCCACAAATGTACGAGAAGCGGGATTCAAGTATAAAATGTTCAGATAACAGTGTGTGAATCATCCGCAGTGGTGACCTCTGTGATTTATTTTTGAGTAAGATTCAAAATGAAACATACCATAAGTCACGACAAAGGTCACCAGTGTCTACAGTACCATAATACAAATGTATTCTTCCAGCAAATAAACTAGTACTGCAAATAAATGAGTAGCCTGCTCCTGAAAGACGGTATGTGCTGTGATGGGTAACATTTATGGAGTACTGAAGGTCCACTGTGACAGTAGTAACACCAGTACTCACAGTCTCTCCAGCTCCTTCAGGTCCTGAAAGGCTCCTCTTTCAATGGTGGTGATTTTGTTTTCCATTAATTGCCTGAAAGAGGAAAACAACGACACAATGAGGTGAGAGCGTGACGTGAAGAATCGGAAGAAAAGGGTTGTTCGATTTATGTTGTGTGTCATAACTGTGGGTGAAGGGGGGGGCAGTGTGGGGGGTGTGAGACCACTCACAAGAAAGAGAGGAGAAAACGGAGGTGAGGAAAAGTGTAAGAAGACTGAAGACAGACACAGAGTGTGGACTGAGGAAAGAGAAGGTGAGAGTGAAAAACAGGGGAAAACACAGGGGAACAAGGACAGAGAGAGAGAGAGAGGGAGGGAGAGAGCAATTCACCAGCAGCTGGGTAGAGAGGCTGAACTGACTCCAGACCCGGCCCATCATTTGGACAGCGACTCATCCATCATCCAATTTACCCCATCTAAACCATATAGCTGTGACTACTCATTCACTTACACAAGCACAACTGCACCAGGAGCAGTTACTGGCTGTTACCCCACCCTCCCTGACACACACACACACACCAAAACACAACACACACACAGACGCAGATCCCCGAGGACCAGGCTGCAGCTTCAAGTTGCTTTGTCTACAAGAAGTGCATTTTAATGTCACTGGTTATGACAAAGGAGTGGTCTGTGTGTGTGTGTGTGTGTGTGTGTGTGCCTCAGATAAACTAATCAAGATAACTGTTACAGCCCTAATTGAAAATGCTTGAGTGTGTTTGTGTGTTTGAGAGTGCTCTCGGGTAGATGTGAGCCCACAGGAAACAGCATGACTCTCTCTCTCTCTCTCTCTCTTTCTCTCTCTCTCATGCGCGCACACACACACAGACACACACAGACACACACAACACACACATTAAGAACATAATCTCTGGAGGAATTCCAAATATGTGTATTCTCTGACATTCAGTTTAAAGGGGTGAATGGCTCACACACACACACACACACACGTCCACAGCAGGTTATCCCCCAGCGCCGAGAGCCCCTTCACCGGATCTATCACAGGTAGGAAACCTGTTCTTACTTGACTGAATCCTTTCCGTTCTTTGTACATTTTTTTCTCTTTTCCTTTCCTTTCGTCTCGTTTCCTATTTTTCCTCTCCTCTCTCCTTCTTCACTCTCCCCTTCTTTCCTCTCCCCTTCTCTCCTCTCCCCTTCTTTCCTCTCCTCTCCCCTTCTTCCCTCTCCTCTTCTTTCCTCTCCCCTTCTTTCCTCTCGTCTCCCCTTCTTTCCTCTCCTCTCCCCTTCTTTCCTCTCCCCTTCTCTCCTCTCCCCTTCTTTCCTCTCCCCTTCTTCCCTCTCCCCTTCTTCCCTCTCCCCTTCTTCCCTCTCCCCTCATGTGTCCAGTTCCATTTCTTGTCCTCTCTACCCTCCATCACTTCCTCACTGGCGTGTTAATCACTGCAGCACCTGGGCCCGGGGCCCTGTGGTTAAACTGAGCGGCCCCTGACACTTCCTCTGGCAGATTAACACCAGGGCATTAACAGGTGTCGCTGCTTTTCTCCTTGGACACAGAGAGCGAAGAAGCCCAACAGCACGCAGCCAGTGCTGCATGCGGCAGCTGCAGGCCTGCAGGAGTCTGATGCTGACACTGTTTAGTCACTGATGGTGGCAACCAGTCGGGGG